GAAAGAGAAAAATCCCTGACTCGGTTCTGTCGGTAACCATAAAATATATAAAGTGATAATAATTAATAAATGATTTATGCTGTGAAAACTTTTTGGACTGTTGTTAAGAGAAAGTGATAATAAAATCACGAATTAAAAAAAAAATGTGTAGTATGCCATATTTTTTAGGATTCCATTTTCTGTTTCAGCGCATCCATAGAAAAATGTGCATAACAAGAGAAACAGCTGCCCGTAGAAACGCTAAACAGGGTGAATAGTGTCAATAAAGTAACAGCTGCACCCTCGAGATAAGTGTAACAAGAATCACTAAGAGCGCGCATACCTCCGCCAAGTCAATTGGGTCTCTGCTAATGAATCCTTTAAAAAAAAATCCATGGATCCGGATCACCACCAAAACTTGATGGCATCTATGCTGGGTTAAGACACACCTCTGGAAAAAAAATCACAAAAATCTATTCATAACTTTTTGAGAGGGTTAAGACACACCTCTGGTAAAAATTTCGCAAAAATCTGTTCATAACTTTTTGAGTTATCCTGTTAACCAACAATCAAACAAACTAACCAACGCTACCAAAAACACAACTTCCTTGACGGAGATAAATGTTCCGTCAGTGGCAAGTGGGAGACGCCGGCGTGTTGCAAGGGGTCGCCGCCAGGAGTCTGACCTCGCCCAAAAAAGAAAACTGCCTTCCGGATGTTGGGGCGGCGAGGAAGGCGCCTCGACCCATGGAATGCTCGTTGTCGATGGGTACTTAGACATTGTGCTGTCATGTCTGCTTAATAGCGGTTGTTAGCGACGAAAACATGTATTCCAGGTCTTTTGTGCGAATGGATAAGTAAAAAAAAAAAATAAATAAAAATAAATAAATACTAAATGACGTATTGTTTTCGTTATCATGGCAATAGTGATGAACGCATTGACCCACAACGCGGGCCACACCTCCTACCATATGCGTGCAGGGTCCCTGAGGGCTTTACCCCCTACATTTCCTGTAAGATTGGCGTCCACCTCGGTTCCCTTCTCTCCATATGCAGCTCGGGCCGCTGACCTCTTAGTTTGCCAGGCGAGAAGGGAAGTGACCTGCGCGTTACCCTCCCGCAGATGACACTGTGTCAAGAGGTCCCTCGGGGTAGCAGAATGCCAGGGACCGCTTCCCCTGACCAACCCACTGGAGCTGACATACAAGATTGGATATTGATTGGTTTGTTGTTCCGTACCCCGCGGGGCATGCAAGCACTAGATATTCTCTAAGCTAGTCTCAGCATCGCTTATTAACCCCCACCACGAGGAACCAACCTGCTTGCAAAATTATCTTTTTCCGCAGATCATAAAGTAAACATGTATTGCAAATGTTTTTTTTGTGTATTGTTTTCCTTTCTTTTTCACTTTTTACTTTTGTGTTCTGACTACGATTTTTATCATTATTAGTAAAATTATTGAACATTATTATCGCTACTATTGTTCACATGATCCTTGATATTGCCATTATACATTTCTCTTTATAATAGCTGTCATTGATATCAAAATTATAATCAATATTGGATCCGTTCTGGATAAAGTAGTGATAGCAAGATTTTATTTTCTCACATATAGTATCAAAATCATTACATTACAAGAAGTGACATTATTAATGTAAGTTACCAAGGCGGTGATTTCATTCATTCATAAAAAAAAAACATAATATTTACTTGAAAATGCATTTCTGATAACGAGATAGGTATACAGGTAGATAGATATATAGACAGGACAGATAGATAGACAGACAAACAGATGAACAGATAGGTAGAAAGATAGATGGACAAACAAACAGATGAACAGACAGATAAAAAGATAGATGGACAGACAAAGAGATAAATAGAAAGACAAATAGACTTACTGACATCTGATGATATTCGAGATAAAGATCCTGTTCCTTCTCTCCGGCCATATCGAAGCTCTTGGCTAAACAGGCCCCTTATCGCCCCAAATCCAGGCCCGTGGTTTGCAGAGGGCCTTTTGGGGTCTCGTGTCATCGGCTGTGACATCAGCTGTGAGGAAACTGAAAATACTGGCGGGTATCGTGTCAGCTGAGCTCGATTAGATAGCGTTAGCATGGTTTGGTGCTCTAGCAATGACTCTTGCAACATGCATTCTTCCCAAGTACCATATATATATATATATATATATATATATATATATATATATATATATATATATATATATATATATATGTATATATATATATATAAATGCATAAATACATGCACGCACACACACACACACACACACACACACACACACACACACACACACACACACACACACACACATATATATATATATATATATATATATATATATATATAATATATATATATATATATATATATATATGTATGTTGTTTTTTGTGCGGTGTGACGCCCATACGTTGTGCCCTGACTGCTCACTTCCCGCCCCCGACGCGAACCCGCAGCCGACGCCATCCCGACCCTCCCCGCCTGACACTCGGCCCCGCCCTC